TTTTATTTGTCACTCTGAACAGTAAAAATACAATTGTAAATGATTGACCAATCAGGTGAGAGCGAGCCTACATAAAGATTTACATATATCAACACCTGCAAAGACTATCTTACATTAATTTTGTGTAGGTAAAAGTGGGGTTCGTTCTGTTCGTGTACGTAAATGCCACCAAGTGATAATTTCATGAACCATAACTCTCAAAATTCCACCGATGATAAGACCAGCAGATACAGCAGCAGCAATAAGAATTGGTAATGATTCAAATTGTCTAACGGCAATACCAATAAGAGACCAAGCAAGAGTACCAGCGAAAACAACATCTTTGCGCTTACAATAATCAACGAATGATAAACCAATAAGTCCAAATACAGCGACTATAATGGTGGAAAAGAATACAGTGTCGAGCGCCTGAAACGCGACCCAGAAGTTGAGAGTAGTAGCAACTATGAGCCATGCAGGATAGATAGTGAAAGGGTAGTGGATAAAGAGACGGTCATAAATACTTTTTGGAGGATATTGTTCAAGATTGTTATATGCAAATATCAAAGCTAATAGGGCGCATGCGGCAACAAAAACGTCTAACATATAATAATCCATTCGCTATAAGGTGCAAATAAAATTAAAATATTTAAGTGTTATGATTTTTATATTATAAAATGCGAAATATATTTTATATTAATAAAAATACCCATAAAACAATCCAAACAATGTTTCCAATATTTGCGAGAATAAGATAAAATTTAACACCTTCAACGGTGGCAATTTCAGCTGAATTGAACCATTGGTAAATAACGAATCCACCAAGCAAAGCATAAATGAGCCCCCAAATTCCAAAAGTATAAGTAGCTGGCAAAATATGAGTGAATGGCACAGCACCATGAGTACCGTTGCCATGAGTACTGTTGCCCTTAAAATCGCTACCGTCGTCACCTGGTCGTTCTTCGATAGCTTTAAAGTATGAATTAACTGCCAAGACTAAGATATAAGAAAGGAGGTTTGAAGTCTTTAAAAAAATATCGTAGCGAGACATTGTAATTGTAATTTTGTAAAAAAAGAAAAGAAGACTTTTGGTGTAATGAATTCTTGGTGTATTTAATACGCAGTTTTAATACACAGATGGCGCCTTTATGCATCTCATCTGTGACACCATTATTATGGTTATTCTACAAACAATGTATTGTTGCACTGCATATATGATTTATGTCTTATGACGCATGACATAACGATCTACATTCGATATAAAACAATTTTGATAATAAACCACAATTTTGATAATTACACATCTCTTTTTGTTTATTTTATTAACATAAAAAAAAGCATTTCTTATATCATGCTACGGATTTTTATTTAAAAATATATAGCTAGTTGTCTTAATAAATTTTGTGTTATTTACGATTTTGTTTTAGCATTAGGTTCCGAATCTAAATTTTGCGATTATTTTCTTGACATAAGGATAAAACGCTTGGCAATTTTTTCATTCTGTTATACGTACAATGATAAGCCTTCGTAGATATCAATCCATTATAGTAGGATCAATATTTGGAGTAGGAATCGGCCTTTACGCGTGGCTTCCAATGATGGAGCAATATAAACGGTAAATCAAGAAATATAATACCAATAATTATAGTTCTAAGATAATTAACATATTTGGAAATCCACCAGTGAAGGAATTTTCGAACAACTCACGTTGCAAAAATCTTATGACAAAACCAACAATAACACAAAGAAAGATACACTCATGGAAGATGTAGATACCGCTAACCCTAAATTAGTGATGGATCAGTCTTCGAAGAAATCGTCGGAACTGGATGGTAACGAATCAAGAACCTAATGATTTTTGGTCTTCGGCGTAGTTATAGCCAGTGTCTGAAATTGGGTTGCGGAATCTGCGGACCGCAGCAAATTTTAAATTTTTGCAAATAAAATTTGATATGCAGGTGCGGAATCTGCAACTAAAATTTTTAAATTTCGCAAGTTTTCCGCAAATTATTTTAAATTATACATATTCCGCAAGTAAGATATTTAATTTACTTGCGGGTTCTATACCAGAGCTTACATAGCGTCGCCCCAAAAAAATGACACCCTATAAAAATCATACTCAGACTTACTCAGATTATTTTTTTGAGATGTGCATTTTCCGTAACAAAAATCTATACAAACCTTTAAAATTTTCTGAATATTTTCTAATTTCCTGAATATTTTCGAAACCTTGTTAATTTCCTGATTATAATTTTTTGCTTGATAAAAATTATAATCGGGAAATTAACA